TTAGACCAGGGTGGCAGGGAGAGGTTTGACAGAGCAACTGAGCTCTCGGCAGGAGAGCAGTATGTGCCAAGCCCAGATGCATGCAAGGTCCCTATGCATGTGGGAGGACAGGATGTGGCCAAGTCTGGCTTGAGTATTTGTGTCTGGAGGTGAGGCTGAGGAGGGGATATGGACCAGATGATAAGTGGCACAGAAGGCTGGACATGCAGAGCTGCTGAAGTATAGTAAGCACGTGAGTGATGCGATTAGGCTTCTGTTGTAGAATGATCACTCTGACAGCTGTGTGGAGGCAAACTCATGTCAGGACAACTAGCTGGGGCTATTACAGTAAGCCAGGAAGGAAATTCTGGGCCTGCATGCTTAGTGGGCCTGGTGATCAGTTGGGCTGGGGTATGGGACATACAAGAGGAGAAGTCAGCTGGCAGTTGCTTATCCTAGGTTCAGAGGAGATCTGGCCTAGAGATACAGGTTTGGGAGTCACGGGCATAAGATGCTCAGAGAGTTTTTGTAGACTTAGTGCTTCTGTGTATGGTTGTGCAGCTTGTGTACTGCACAAGGGAGCCTGGTTGATGAGGCAGAGAGGAGAGGGTGAAATCTAGCCTGTGTCCACTCACTAAGTACATCCCGGCACTTGGGGGCTGGCACGAGGCTAAAGCTGTCATTGGTAAAGAAGCAGCCAACCTCTCTTATTAGCCAGGAGATGAGGGTGTTGGTCGTTTTTGTGCTTGCACAGTTTGTTTATATTTGTGCTTAGACAGGATTAAGGAGTATCCTGTGTCTTGTTGTATCGCAGTCACAAAGTGACTTTCTCTGATGTTGGTGTTCTGTGGAATTATGTTAAGTAAGGAACATCGTGGCCAGCCACCAGCCACCAGCTCTCTCTCAAGTATGCTCACACGTGCGCACACAGACATACACACACAGCATGTGATTTTTTAGCCATGACACCTGCTAGCCCCTTGGAATCAAAAGCAGATTATATTCATAAAACTAGTGACTACTTTCCACTTGTCCTTTAAGACCTAGCTTTTGGGTGATTGCTAGATGGGTGTTCATTATACTATTCTCCTGACCTTTGTGTATGCTTTTTAAAATTTCAAAAAGTAAAAAAAATAAAGGGCTCAGCTTAGATGTTCCTTCCTCTGGAAAGGCTTCTCTGATCCTCCTTTTCTGCTGGGATTAAAGACCCCTCCTATCTGCTTCTAGAGAATTCTGTGAATCACTCTCTTCTAACAACTTGCTACTCAAAGTGTGGTCTGTGAACCAGCATCATGGGCATTACTTAGGAACCTGTTACAAGTGCAGACTCTCAGGCCCATACTCAGTCTATGAATCAGAATTGGTGTTTTGCCAGGATCTCCAGGGTTCATGTGCACAGTAAAGTCTGAGAAATTCTGCTCTAGCGTTTTTCCTGCTGAGTGATAATCATCTATGCCCTCCATTAGACTGTGTGCTCCCTGAGGGCAGGGGTGGGGGCGTTTTCCCCCAGCACCAAGCCCAGCCGTTGCTAATGGTGTCTGCAATGAGCAAGCGTAGGTGGGTGGCATGTGCAGGACCACCCACTGGGAGATGAGTGAGGGACCTCTGCCCCATCCTGCTGCTGTAAGTCTGTCTTCTTGCCTGGCCCAGATCAAGGTGAACGTCCTGGGAGAGGTGGTGGAGAAGGGCAGCAGCTGCTTTCCAGTGGACACCACAGGCTTCTGTCTGCACTCTGCCATCTACGCCGCCAGACCAGACGTGCGCTGCATCATCCACCTGCACACGCCGGCCACGGCAGCGGTGAGTGTGCTCCTCCCCAGCCACGGGAGCTCTTCATCCAGCATTTCACTCCCTGCAGCTGGCAGCCAGACCCAGGGAACCCGTTTCTCTGAGATTCTCCCTAGAGAAAGACATAAGCCACCCAAGGTAGTAACAATCTTATTTAGAGCAGTTCTGGAAAGATCTCCTGGAACTCAGACCAAGGTGAGGAGAGAGAACTCCCAATGTGGGAACCCTCATCCCATCCATCTTTCTAACTACTGAAGTCTTAGTATAGAGTAAAGATGTGGACTGTCCATTCTGCCATGTCTCCCACCCTGCTACACTCATAAACTGGGACCACTTACCCAAGCGACAGCACCTCTTGAGTGTCTGTCATCTACTCAGGACCAGGGGTGGTGCCTGCTCTCACACAGCCCAGGCTCTGGCTAGAGGATATCTTGACAGAGGATAACAAGATGGTGGGAACCTGAACCCACTTTTCCATAGCTCAGGGTAGGCTGCGACCTGGGGACTAGTGCCAGCAACACTGGGAGAGAGTAGAAGAAATGACCTCAGGAGCGGCTTGTTCCCCAAGGGTCACTGGTCATTTCTCCGTGTGTACCTAAGACACTGCAACGTCACTTGGAAAGACAGCAGAAAACCCGTCGGGGTGTTCCCCCAATCCTCACCCCATTCTACTGACCCCAGGCCACACACCTGCAGGGACAGAGCAGATGTGTCACCAGCCTGTTGCTTCCTCAGTGAAGCACACCAACTGTGAACATTCAGACCATCCATCCAGAATTTGGACTAAGGCTCAGTGATGTCTTTGGGCTGCGTGTGCATCTCTGCAGGGCCGAGGCTGACACATGGGCAGGATGAGCGCTCCATGATCCTGGCTTTTAATAAAAGGTGGGGCTGGGGTTGCAACCTGTGACTTAATCCTGGTCCCTGGCACTTGTATTGGCCCAGTGCCATAGAATGGGGCTTCTCAATGGGCCTCCCTGTTAGTGAGGAGTTGTGGCAATTTCTGCACTGAAACCAAAGCTGAGGGTCTCCACCACCCCATCCCAGGGGACCTGGACCCTGCTTCACTTCAGCCGGGTGCNCTGAGGGTCTCCACCACCCCATCCCAGGGGACCTGGACCCTGCTTCACTTCAGCCGGGTGCAAACTCCACCACACCCTGCCTCTTCTCAGAGTCCTGAGACAAGAGCAAAGCCAGGGCAGGGGCGGCAGTAGCTCTCTTGAGTGCATTCTTTCCAGCAGTTTTAAAAGGTCGTATGTTGACATGGCTTCTGTGAAAACTACGATGGAAAGACATTAGAGCAAGCAGCATGAGAACAGACCCAAGCCAGGTGAAGGAATCAAAGGCCTTTCTCGTGTGCCCGCTTCCCCACTCACCTCCGCGCTGGCCCCCAGAGTGTAGCTGGACTGTGCGGCTCTGAAGAAAGATGTGACAGAGTGTGGCTGGGGGGCTGCAGGTGCTAACCATTCCATTGTCTCCCCAAGGTGTCAGCCATGAAGTGTGGCCTCCTGCCTGTCTCCCACAATTCCTTGCTGGTGGGGGACATGGCCTACTATGACTTCAATGGGGAAATGGAGCAGGAAGCTGATCGGATCAACCTGCAGAAGTGCCTTGGACCCACCTGCAAGGTTTGCTCAGCTCTTCTGGGAGGGTGCTCTGAAGTGGCATTATCAAAGGCCAACATCGCAAAAGTGATATATGTTTATTTGAGAATGTTTAGAAATTGCAGATAAACCAAAAAAGAAAAGAAAAAGAAAGAAAATAAAAATCTCTGTATCATATTACCCTAAGATTTTGGTGCACACCCCAAAGATATTCACATATATTTACAAAACTAGGATCATAAAATAAGTTTTTTTTCCCCTAAGCAACATACATCAAGCATCTTTGTATATTATTAAATATTTTCTCTGTCACTATTTTAAATTATTAAATTATACCTCATTGTGAGAATGGCTGTGCCACCATTTCCCTGAACAGTCCTCTATGGTTGGATATTAGAGGACATTGTTTTCCTGAATTATCTCTTAATATAAACAATACTGCGATGAATATCCTTCCAGCTAAATCTTTGTGTGTGCCTGAGGTGATTTCCTTAGGATGGATTCCTAGAGATACACACTTTAGAACTCTGACTTCATGTTGCCAGATTGCTCCCAACGAACCAGCTAAATCTTTGTGTGTGCCTGAGATGATTTCCTTAGGATAGATTCCTAGAGATACACACTTTAGAACTCTGACTTCATGTTGCCAGATTGCTCCCAACGAACTTTGTTCCTTCCCCCCATCTCTAATATATAAGAAGGCTATTTCCCTGCAGTCTCCCCAGACTCGACTGTTATCATATTTATTTATTTACTTTACCAACTTACGAGAGAAATCAGAATCTCATTATGGCTTGGCTTACGTCTGACACCCTATTTTATAACAGCACATAATTGGGGTGGTCACCTCCTCAGGATGGAGGAACTTCACAGCTGAGCCTGGATTGATGGGCACTTTCTGCCATACTGGCAAGGCACTCACTGCCCAAGTCCTTTCCCATCTAAGTCCCTGTCTTCCTGTCTCTAACACGGGGGGGAAGTCTCACCACTCTTTCCTAACGTCCTCCAAAGCACCATTAGCAGTGCTGGGAGAGGGCTGAGATGTTCACATCTATGAAGTATGACAAGGACCTGAGAGATGGGGTGCTCATTGTCTGCAGTATCTTTTGTGGGTCAGAGCCATCATCTCTTTCCACTTCTCTGGCCCTTGAGAAGAAGAAACCCCAGCTGTTTTCAGCAAGAGAGGATGTGATATTTAGAACCACCAGGCCTCAGCCCAGGCTCTGCAAGCATAGAACCAACACATGGATCTGTGTGCCAGCTCCCGGGTGGGCATCATCTAGTTCCAGCGAGTTCTTGAGGGTAAAATCAACCCAAAAAAGTGGGTGGCAGGGAAGGTGCACTTGGACCTCGGGGAGTCATGCTCTCAGTATAAATTCATTTCTGGTTTCCCCTCCTTTTATCTGCCCTGGCTGAGTCAGGAACATTGCACCAATGCTGAGAACCCCCGGGAGACTTTCACTTTCTTTAGGATTCTATTTCCTCATCTGTAAAACCAGTGAGTTAAATTATAAGGTCACTGTGGCCTCTTCCATAGAACTGTGGGATCTTAGAGCTGGTAGCTCAGTGAGTTTATGGACCGAAAACCTGAGGCCCCAAGAGGCCGTGTTTCTGCAGAGCCACCTCTCAGAGCGTTGTTCCCTTGGGTTTTGACTCCTGTTGACTAAGTCACAGGGACAACAGATTGCTTTTGAGGTTGGACCTTTGTATTAGATATAAGTAATTTCATTCACTTTAACACACACACCAGTTTTTCAGACTTCTAAGCTCTCCAAGGCCTGAAAACCCAGGCATGGTCCAAAGAAATTGGCCCAGTTTAAAAATGCCTCTTCAGTTTTTTAGGGCGGATGCCTTGGGTTAAAATCACATGTGGTGGATGAACTTGGAGAAAATTATGTTACGTGAAATAAGCCAGGCACAGGGAGAGAAATACCACAGGTTCTCACTCACATGTGGGAGCTAAAAAAGTTGACCTCATAAACGTAGAGAGTAGAATAGTGGTTCCTAGAGACTGGTGTGGGGGCGGGAAGGGGAAGGGAGGAGAGGGAGAGGATGGTCAGTGAACACAAAATAGTAGAGAGCCAGGAAGAATGGGATCTAGGGTTCTATAGTAACACGGGGGGACTGCAGTCAACCACAAAGTACTGTGTCTCTTTGAATAGCTGGTCATGATGACGTTAAATGTTCCTCACACGAAGTGACAAATGTTTGAGGTGATGGATATACTAAGCACCCTGATATGATCATTGTACATAGTACAAATACACCCAATTATTTGTACTCCATAAATATATAAAATTATCATGAATCAATTAAGAAAAATAAAAAGACAGGAAGAGAGAGAAATAGAGAGTAGCATAGTGATTAGCAGAGGTAGAGAAAGGGAGAGGGGAGGGGGGGCCAGGGAAGGGTTGGCTGGTAGACCGGTGCAAAGTTACGAAGTTACAGTTAGACAGGAAGAATAAGTTCTGCTGCCCTAGGGGGACAATAGCTAGTACTAGTGTATTGTGTATTTCAAGTAGCCAGAAAAGAAGATCTTGAATGTTATAACCACAAAAAAAATTATGAAAGTTTAGGTGATAAATATGCTAACTCTACTGATTGGATCATTATACAATATATGCATGTATTAAAACAACAAACTATACCCCTTAAACATGTATAATGAAAAATTAAAATAAAAAATAAAAGCCCCACTGGCCAAGGGTTGGGGGAAATCACATGTAGCACTGAGGTGTTTGGTTAGAGAGAATGAACAAGGAGTTGGGGGAGGGGCTCTGGGAATAGATTGGAAATTGATCTAAATAAAATGAAAAGCCTCTCCCTCTTAACCAAAGTTTAGAAGGCTTCAAGTTTAATTACCTGTTTACTCCTCTGCAGATCCTGGTGCTAAGAAACCATGGAGTGGTTGCTCTAGGTGACACTGTAGAGGAGGCGTTTTATAAGATCTTCCACCTGCAGGCTGCGTGTGAGATACAGGTGAGTGGGTTCCTCTGGGAAGAGTCTCAGGAGTTGGCTCCGAGAGGGGCCTGTGGGGTGGTGGCCCCACTGGCTGTGGTTCAGGGAGTCCTTTGAGCCTAGCCTTGTCCTATTTCTCTGTCTTGGTACCGTCTTACCCTTCTGAAGTTTTACACTTAGAATCTATTCTGTGGCTTTGAGAATTTTATCATATTGTCTATCAACTGACACCCAACTCTTGGGGGTCAGTGTGCAGGACAGGGGTTGCTTGGGCTTATCAGATGGTCAGTGGAGAAATCATAATAGGGCATAGAAAAGTTCTTACCATGCTCATGTGTTACCTAGGGTGGACCTGCTACACCTAGCTATGCCCAATAGACACACACAGGTAGGTTTTCTTTTTCTTTCTTTTTCATGGTGGGGGGTAGGGGGTAGGGTTTGTATAGGCCAGGAACATGGTCAAGTTCAGAAAGAGAGGTGGAGAGCAGGACAGTTGGAGTGTTGGCACAGCAGGCAGCCAAAACAGCAGGCAACCCCAAGGTGATGTGCAGGGACTCATCATGAAGTCCCCTACCTGGTAAGGGATGGGGTGGACAGGGAGTATCAGTGATCATGAAACCCCCTAGAGGAGTTGGTGGAGAAGCGATAGGAAAACAGACAAATCTGTGGTTTTATAGACAACAAGTGCACACCCTTCAATGTGGCAAGTTGCTCAGGGGTGAGGAGGAGGCCCTGCACAGCCCTGGAAAGACGTGTTAGCCAAGTCTTGGGCTCCATTGTTCCCACCCTGGGACGTGTGCCCTTGAGTAGGGGACTTGTCCTCCACGAGCCTCTGTTTCCTCAACTGTAGATGTGTGGCATAGAGGATTGTTGTGGGGACAGGACTTTCAGATGAGGGAGGATGTTGCTGATGGTATTTTTAGGACTCAGTTGACAGGATGAGTCAGCTCTTTGCAGGGCCCGTTGGTGTCCAGTCTGCCCTCTCCTGGCTGGCGTGGGTAGAGCAGCGCCCATAGGAAGAACGCCTGCCTTTTTCTTGGGAGAAGCTCAGCAAGGAGTGAGATCTGGCCCAGAAGCATTGCCGTGGAGGCTCGCAGTAGTGCCCTTTCAGTAGTCTTTAAAGGAATGTGTTGAGAGGACATTGTGAGGACAATGATGCAGAGGTATTAGCGGAAGTGATGTGAGACCCTCACCCTGTCCCAAACAGCAGTGGTCTGAACAGGGGATTGTGAGGAAGATGGGCAAAAGGCCCAGGTGGTGCCTTTCTGATGTGGTGACCGCCTACCTAACCAAGGACACTGGCCCTGAGTTCTGACCACTTACTGGTGTAAGAACCTGGCAGAGCCTCTAATATGTAGGGAAGCCACTTTCCCTTCCCACAGCTGAACTCTTAAAATCTCCCCATCTTCCTTCTGGAGAGAGGCCTCCATGAGAAAATAGCTCATGAAAAAGCCTCATCTCTTTGCAAAGACAGCCCAGCCCTGAAAATGGATGGAGAGAGATGCCCATGTGTCCCCCACACAGTGATCTATGCCTCCCCCAGGCTCCAGACCCCCAGAAATGGTCACTGGGCAATTTAACCAAAGCAGAATGGCCATCTGCGATCAAAGGGCAGAGCTGCCGGCCACTGTCCATGACAGCACCCTTAGCTGCTGTCACTTTCTTTTCAGGACTGGTTTGATGTGACATTGTTAAGGTACCTCAGGCAATGCAGGCAGTTAACCCGCAGAAAAGATCCAGTGGCTTTTTTTTTCAGGTGGTGGAACAGAGAGGCTTCTAGAGAGAGGAATGGAGCTGGAAGATGTGAAGGAAAAACAGGAAATATTAGATCAGAGGCATGGGTGGATTAGGACATGAAAGAGCTCAGGTAGCAGCAATCTGCAGGAGCTGTTGGATTGCAGTTGCTGGCCAGGTCATTTTAGGGTGGAGGGCTGGCACTGAAGCTGTGTTTCCACCGTGGGCCTAGTTTTCTCCCTCAGTGACCGTGGCAAACAAGCAAACGTGGCTGTAGTCATGTTAGTCGTTCAAGGCTGAGAACCTATTTGGTTCTCCTGGGGACAGTGTTCTCTTTGCTCCCTGTCAATTTGGGGTTCTAGGAAACTGGGTCATCCCTACCTGAGAGAGGCAGCTCCCTTCTCTGCTGATGGGCAGATGGGAAGAAGCTCAGACATTTCTCCTCCATCTGCCACCCATCACCATGGAAACCGGAGGAGGAAGAGGGAGATGGGAGCAGGCAGCTCTTGCAAGGGCGTGGGCAGTTTTCCCTGTCTTTCCTTCTCCATTAATGACCAGTCCCCAGAGGATATTGCTTCTTGGAATTCATGTATCAAAAACATTTATGGGGCACTTCTTATGCAGCAGGTGCTAAGTGCTTCACATCTGTGACCTTAAAGACTCCTTGCAAGGTAAGTATTGCTATTTTCATTTTACAGATGAGGGAACTGAGGCACCGAGATGGTAAATAGCTGCCCAAAGTCACATAGTGAGTAACCGGCAGAGCCAGGATTCAAACCCGGGCTGGCTGGCATCTGAGTTGGTGCCTTCCAACACTACCTTGCACTGCCTCTCCAGGGAAGTAAGAGTCAGTGGGAGAAGTCTGCCTTCAATTGGACTCGTGTCTTGGATGAAAAGACCTCCTCGCCACAGGATGATGGAGGTCACCTGGGAAGTCTTCCTGGCTGTATTAATCAGGGTTCTCCAGAGAGACAGAACCAATAGGATATGTATATACAGATATGAGAGGGGATTTATTAGGGGAACTGGCTTACATGATTGTGGAGGCTGAGGAGTCCCACAACAGGCCATCTACAAACTAGATGCCAGTAGCGTGGCTCAGTCCAAGTCCGAAGGCCTCAGAACCAGAGAAGCTGATGGTGTCATTGGTCTAAGTCCTGGAACCCAAAAGCTTAAGAGTCTCAAAAGTTCTGATGTCCATGAACAGGAGAGTAGAGCATATCCCAGTTCCAGTGGACAGAGAGAGCAATTCATCGTTTTTTCTTTGTTTTTATTCTCTCTGGGCCCAGATTTGATTGGATGGTTCCTGCCCATATTGAGGGTGGATCTTTCCCACCCAGTCCACTCAGGCCCACATACTAATCTCTTCTAGAAACACCCTCATCAGCATGTGAAAAAAGATAACTTTACCAGGCTTCTAGGTATTCCTTAATCTAGTAAGTTGACACCTAGATTTAACCATCACATTGTTTGACCTCCAAGAAGAATCATAGGGGCATTTGTTAACACTGGTGAATTTAACACGCTCTGTGGTCTGTCCTGGATCCTCATGGGTTCATGGAGCTGCATTTGTCAGCATGCTAAATTGGATTCTTTCATTTTCAGTAAAAAATTACTGTCACTAAAACACTGAAACACTGAAAGTTTATATAATTGGAGCAGTTCCCATAATAAGCAGGCTTAGATGAGATCAAATTTTATGCAGAATGCTAATGTATTAATGTGCAAAACACCTGGCTCTAGCTAGAATACTCAAAAGCCACCATGTCTGTCCGTCGCTGGACTTATGCAGGAAGCCAAACCCTAACCAATTAAGTGTGAGTGGTGGATGTATATGGGTAACTAGAATGCACCATTAGATGAGCTTGGAATTAGAAAATAAGGGGATGGGTTAGACTAATGAATTTTTTAAAGATCATTCTGAAACCACCTGCTGTATACACACCTCTTGTCCTAATACTCAAAGTTCATGCCTGCAGCCACCTGCATCATCCCCACCCCATGGCACCTTGACAGTGGGACAGACATGCTATAATCCCTGGGTGAAAGCTTTCTCACCCCCACATAGTGCCTGCCTGTGCACGATCAACATCTTATCTGCTTCCTTGTCTGGGTTTCCTTGACTGGCTTACCCCATCGTGGAGCATGCATTCCTCTCTTAGACCTGTTAATCCATCCCTTCAGGTTACATTCAAATTTCATTGGCCTGGAAGCCAGCCTATTTCTTTCAAGTGACTTTTTTTTTTTAAATGGGAGATATTTCAAACATACAAAAAAAATGCAGGGAATAACATGAGAGCCACCACCCACCATTCAGATTTGACAAATATTAACAGCCTTTTTGCTTCAAATCTTTACCTCTTAAAGAAATAAAATATTACATACAAATATTAAAGTCCCCTTTGGAGTCCTTTCCAATCTCATCCTCCCTCCTTCCCCAATCCTAAATTGGTCTGTAGCCCAGGTAATTTCTCAGTCCTCTGTATGGTTTTTTCTTAAGGTTTAACACTTGCTATTTCCTTCTTCTCTATAGCCTCTAAGAACCGACATCAGGGGAGAAACCTCTTTCCCTGGAAATGGGTGTATGCCCAACAAGTTTGGGGTGGCTTTTCCTCGGTTTCCCAGACATTTCTGGTTTCTAAGTTCTCCTCGGTGCCCCCTCCCATTACATATGGGAGCAAATGCGGGGGTATCCACATGGGCATGGCTGAGGTTCTCTGCTCTTCGCTGCAGGTGTCGGCTCTGTCCAGTGCTGGGGGTGTGGAGAACCTCATCCTCCTGGAGCAGGAGAAGCACCGGCCCCATGAGGTGGGCTCCGTGCAGTGGGCCGGGAGCACCTTCGGGCCCATGCAGAAGAGCCGGCTGGGGGAGCATGAGTTTGAGGCCCTCATGAGGATGCTGGACAACCTGGTGAGTCCCCTGCTGTTGCCTTCCCAGAGCAGTCCATTGAGGTTTAGCCCTCCACAACCAGGCAGTACAAGGCACTAGGTGGGCACGAGAACTACTAGCATCACAGTTAAGTTGTTGAAGCCTCGTAGATTGGCAGTTGGATTTAGAGTTTGTGGTCCTTCTAATAGTAGTTGAGTTTTCTAAAACGGTGGCCTTTGCTACACTCCACTAAGTGCTGTGGATGTTACCATATCTGCAGAGTGCTCTATGAGAAGTAGTAAGCCAGTAAAAATTAAAACACAGAGCCTCTCCTATATTGGGGCTTAGTTCATGCCTCTTATGTAGTTAGTCCTACCTATCTTTTTAATCTCATGATTTTAAGGCAGAAAGCACACAGTACTAGTCTTTTTAATCTCATGATTTTAATGCAGAAAGCACACAGTACTACGAATTACCTTATTCCTGGGCAGCAGCTTTAGGACAATATCCTATTGTAATGAATGAATGAATCATCACATAAGAAACTAAACTGGTATATCTTTTTAATCTCATGATTTTAAGGCAGAAAGCACACAGTACTACGAATTACCTTATTCCTGGGCAGCAGTTTTAGGACAATATCCTATTGTAATGAATGAATGAATCATCACATAAGAAACTAAACTGGTATATGTCTAGGAGTGGGCTGGATCTTTAAAAGGTACAAAAAATTTTAAAACATTCTTCTTGGAGCTAATAATTTAGTTGATGATATGGGATATTAACAGGAGACAATTCAAGAATGAGAGGAAAACATATACAAGGAGGAGCTAATTGCAGCAAGAGACTATAAATTCACAGATTGCTCAGAGAAGTGAAAGATGAAATCTGCCTTCATAACATTTCTGTCTGATTCATCCTCCCCATCCTCACTGCTACTGCCTTGGACCCTCCTTGTTGTGTCAAGGTCACTGCAATAATAATACTTTCCTCCCTGCCATCAGTTTCTCCTAATCATCTCTACCTTATTACCAGGCTGACCATGAGGGTCACATTATCATGATGAAAGAATCCACAAAACAGATACAACTTCATAAATATAACATTTGTATAATGAGTCATCTGTACCTAAATAAAGCACCAGGGACTAGATGGTTTTATACAAGAATTCTCCCAATCTGTTAAGAAACAGACAATTCTTATGCTATTTATTTATTCTGTTTCAGAGAAGAGTGAAAAAAGAACATTAAGCCATAACAATTATAAGACATTCAGACCAATTTTACTTTGAATGTTGATGAAAAATGCTGCCCGAAAACCAGCAAATAGTATGGCGTGTAACAGTAGAATAATAATACAGAATAACCANAACACAGAGCCTCTCCTATATTGGGGCTTAGTTCATGCCTCTTATGTAGTTAGTCCTACCTGTCTTTTTAATCTCATGATTTTAATGCAGAAAGCACACAGTACTACGAATTACCTTATTCCTGGGCAGCAGCTTTAGGACAATATCCTATTGTAATGAATGAATGAATCATCACATAAGAAACTAAACTGGTATATGTCTAGGAGTGGGCTGGATCTTTAAAAGGTACAAAAAATTTTAAAACATTCTTCTTGGAGCTAATAATTTAGTTGATGATATGGGATATTAACAGGAGACAATTCAAGAATGAGAGGAAAACATATACAAGGAGGAGCTAATTGCAGCAAGAGACTATAAATTCACAGATTGCTCAGAGAAGTGAAAGATGAAATCTGCCTTCATAACATTTCTGTCTGATTCATCCTCCCCATCCTCACTGCTACTGCCTTGGACCCTCCTTGTTGTGTCAAGGTCACTGCAATAATAATACTTTCCTCCCTGCCATCAGTTTCTCCTAATCATCTCTACCTTATTACCAGGCTGACCATGAGGGTCACATTATCATGATGAAAGAATCCACAAAACAGATACAACTTCATAAATATAACATTTGTATAATGAGTCATCTGTACCTAAATAAAGCACCAGGGACTAGATGGTTTTATACAAGAATTCTCCCAATCTGTTAAGAAACAGACAATTCTTATGCTATTTATTTATTCTGTTTCAGAGAAGAGTGAAAAAAGAACATTAAGCCATAACAATTATAAGACATTCAGACCAATTTTACTTTGAATGTTGATGAAAAATGCTGCCCGAAAACCAGCAAATAGTATGGCGTGTAACAGTAGAATAATAATACAGAATAACCAAGTGAAGGCTCATTCTTAGGATTGAAGGAGGCTTAATATTATAAATCTGCTAAATATATTTCATGATATTGAAGAATCAAAGGATGAAAAGCCTTTTGATCATCTTAATAAATATCAAAAGGTGTTTGATAAAAATTTAACATCAATTTGTAAAAATAATAGTTGTTAACTAGGACAAGAGGACACTTATTTAACTTATTCAATCAAATGATTTTTCTCAAAACAAGAGGCAGTATCATGGTGAAACACTAGAAGTATTTCCATTCAACTTTGAAACAAAACAATGATTCCTGCCCTTAACACTATTACTTAATATTGTTTTGGAATAATATTGTAAAGGAAGCAAGATTACTATTTTTTTTTACAGATAGTATGGTTACATGCCTATGAAGTCCAAAAAATTCATCTGAAAAAATATTAGAAATAATGAGGTATTTAAAGGTGGTCAGTTGTGGAAATAAATACAAAAATCAGTAGCTTTATTGTCTCTT